CGTATAATGAGTGATACGGGGTCGAATAAAATAAAATATTTTAAATATTAAAAAACGTGGGTTTTTGTCCACAGATTTAGTTCCCGTCGTAGTTTATATTAACAAAACGTAATGGCATATCCATAATGCAGTTACTCTTTATTCGTGATACACCTAACTGATATGTGATACTATGGTTTACATTTCGTACACGATTCGCGTACCAGAAGTATTTATGTTCGTTGGGATTTTATACCGACACGGTTTACATGCATAGGCAGACCGGCAGATTCATGATAATTTAAGCCCCGAGAACTCGAGACTAGATTTGAAAACTACGCGTATAGCAATAAACGCGATACTTCATATAAGTTCTAGTGTTTAAATTTTGCGCTGCAAAGTTGCAGCTGTTGTCACATGACATAATATACGAGGTCTATTACCAAGATGAAATCGGTTTAAATTAATAATATAACAGTGAAAAACCCCCAAAAAATGTATTTAATAATGAGATTATGGCCACGTGACACGAGGACATAATATGATAGGAACGAAATGTATAAAATATCCTTATAATAATAAAACGCTAAGCATTAAGTCTTTAAAGTCCACAAATTCCTCTACTACCAATCGCAAATCGGAGAACGCCTTGCGCGTATAAATAACTAACCAATAGGCATTTTACAAGACAACTTTCTAATGCCAAAACCAACCGTATATATCCGTATTGAGTAAAAAATAAACCTGTAAGTTGTAAACATTAGATGTTTTATTCCATTTCCCTGTATCTTGTTTGAACAACGAAGCTCAGATTCATAGGTTTTATTTAGTCAAAAAAAAAAGAAAAAAAAAAACGATCCGGATGGAGAAAATATGATAAATAATATATTGAAATACCTACGCACGTCGAAGAATTCCTGAACGTTTGAGATTCCTTGATACTTAAAAAAATAACTTCATTAATGTTTTTGGTTTTTCATATTTTTATAGCACAACCAAAATTATACCCGGATATGATATAAATTCTGTTCGCGAAGTTTAGATTTTAAATTTGTACTATTTTATTTTGCATAAATTTGCATATAAAACATTTTTGAACACATAAACGCATACATTGAATATTTCACATTATAGTAGCGTCTCTATACACTCCATGCTGTTATTTCTTTATTGACATTTCATATTTGTTTTATACTGGGTGTTATAAATTTAAATGTTTATTTATTTATTTTTTTTTCATAAAAAATATATTCGATCTATCGAAATTCACTTTAATTTATGTACATTTTACAGGTAAACTTACCCAAATCTTTTTTCCGATAAATTCCACGTGTATAGAAATTACGAAACAGTTTTGTGTTGAATATTATTTTTGTTGTTGATTCAATAATTAGTTGGTCAAATGCACATTTAAATGACTATAAAATTTATTTTTAATTGGTAGTAATCCTTTTTTGCATATACATCATGGTGATTTATTTATCATAAACAAGCAATATTCTCGTAAGATTTTTAGTGAATTTGATTTCAATATTTTTTTAATCATTATGAAATTGGTTAAGTTTAATTTTAAACCATTTTTTATTTTTCATCCCTACTTTATGTACCTTAAATAAATGTATACTTTTGTTTTTCAAATAGGAATCGCCCTTTTTTGAACACAGATTTGAATAGAGAATATTTATTTAGACATTTTTATATTCTTAACCTAACTAATACCAGATTTACCGTTTATGAGTTATAGCAGTTCAAAGTTTAACCGGACGAGTAGGAAAAGTTAATAAATTGCATATCTATTTTGAAATGCTAACTTGATAAAATTGAAGTAAAAAATGCAGTTACAATAAAACAATGTAAAAAAAAAAAAAAGGAATAATATATAATAACGTTAAGTTTACGATTCATTGAAAGAAAAACAAATTACAATGAATAACATACGGTCTATGATATGCTTTATAATACTATTTATTACTTTGATAGTTGAAAATTGTTGTTTAATTCGAGTTCAATGCAGAGGCGTATACAAAGGGAGCGATAAGGGTGATCGCCCTCCTTGAGCATTGTTGAATTTGTTTCATGTATAGGTAATTATTTATTTTATTATTATTATTAATCAAAAGTTTGTGAAAAAAAAGATAATTTTTTTTGTGCGAAAGGTTATCGACAATTTACTAAGAGATTGATAAGAGATTAGATGTCTATTTATCATCAACTGTTGGTTATAATAATTATATTGCGATTGTCTATACGATTATTGTACGCACTTTGCAACCGTGGTCTGTGTAATTAACTGGGAATGATACCACAAAGTCGTGATAACTCTATCATACTCAGATAGTTTTTAATCTGATTATTCTTATACATTTTCCCACCTTTTTTGCTTTGTTTTTTGCTTTGATTTTACCACCAAGTATTATTAAAATTTGAATTTCGCCCCATCCCTTGGAGGATAAGATGAATACCACCCTGATTCTGTGTATTTCGCATGATAACTATTTTATTAAAATCGACTCCAAGTACAATCGTTTCAATATCATAGTTATTTACGTTCGGTTATACACAAATAAACGTGAGTCGAACAGATGGATACAATTAGAAGATGCATAATATGCAATTTCCGTTCGGGTTTTAAAACAAAAATTAAATATGTATATTGCATATTATGTGTAATATGTAACATTATATTGACTGTAGGACGTAAGAACTTGAAGAGGACATGGTTTAAATCATTATTTTTTTTCGCTGACTTTGAAACATTCCCCGACTACCAGAAACACGCGTTAACAAAAACAAACTAATATAATGTATACATTATACTGGGATAGAATTTGAGTTTCTAATCTAATTTCCCGACGAAGTTAGATTAATATCAATTTACGCCCTCACTTTCTAAATTTAAACTTTTGACTGCACCGAATTTTTTTGTGGGTTCCATCAAGTTCCGCCGTATTTGCACAAACGCTCGCCTAGGTATCTCAACAACAATTCGAGAGAGCCTGTATCAAAGGGCTGTACAAACAATACATTGATTATCGACAGGGTAACAACTTAGGTTTCTTATTTGGATTCCAGATATTCGTAGTGCGCTCACAAATGAGTGATAAGTTTCGCAGCCGCTGTAACTGCGCCGGTACCTATACGTATAAATATGTATATAGACGTAAAATCGAAATAACAACAGGAAAAAAACTTTACAACATTGTAGCACGTGCCGCCATAACAATTATCATATTATTATCGTAACTATAGCCATAATAGAATATACTTTCCGTAGCAATGTGCGACGATAATTATTCGTGTAAATACAATAATGGAAAGAAATACAGATAGGGGACTCGGTGGCTAACAATGGAGACGAACGCAGATAAAATTTAAATTACCCCGACGGCGTAGGTCAGGTTTCAAAAAACAATATCATCGAGGGAACAATAATAATAATAATAATAATAATAATAATAATAATAATCTGTAAGTGGGTAATATTTAGTGAATACCCGTAGATGTAAAATACCTGTAATCTAAAAAAAATCTTGATGTAGTGTTGAAAAAACTGAAGTGAATGAATACAATTAATGAGATCAAGCGAAATTAATAAAATATACGAGATTTTACCAGTATAAAATTATATGAAAATCTTACATTTTAAATAGTTTTAAGATTTGTATAATACGGAAAAACATACACTTAGATGACTCTGTTTTTTTTTTTAAGTATACATTTTTTATTCATTTTTCAATATTTATATTAGATTTTTGAGATGGATTAGACAAAAAGGATTCGATTTATGAAAGCAATAATAATTTCTATCAAAATCACATTAATAGGGATTTGTTTGGACGGATGCGATAAAACTTGTGAGATGATGTTACTTTTGCCAAACAATTTCCCGGTTATCAGGCCATGAAACCGAATATTATTCGTTAAATTATTTTGACAACACCTTTTTCGCTATTACACGGGTTTACAATAGGTAATTAGGACGGATTTTTTAATTTCTAATTTTCGTTCTCCGAAGAGCTCATGGCGAATCAAATGTTCTAAGTCTATGGAAAATATGGCAGCTGCCGGCTTGTTAGTCTGAAGATTATAATATTTTTATTTAACTTTTGGGACCACGGTCAACACAGAATCGCTTAAATTAATTTGGGATTGCTTTTTTTCTTAATAAAATTTTCATATTGAAAAACGTAAGGTTATTAAAAAATTAATTTAGTTTTACTTGCGTATGCAGTTAAAGAAGACGCATAATGTAAAACACCTATACTACCTGTACTCAACTAAGCATAGCGTTATATTAATGAGTAATTTCATTATAATCCAATAAAAACTACATTTCTATTGAACCCGTAAAAACTGTATCGGTTAAATTATGTTGAATTTGAACAATATGAAATTGATAAATATTAGGTTACAAAAAAAAAGAAAAGAAATGAATTATTATATTTACACATTTACATCATACATAAATCATTTTTGGCGACGGTTTCGAGTGACACGAAAAGATACTACGCCACAGAGTATATAAATTATCGCCGACGTACGATTGCGTGCGTTTTATCTTTTTGAGTATACGACTGAGCGCGGTGCCGGAATAACAAAGAATATGATTTCGACCCTTCAAAAGCATACGATTGCGCGCGATATTGGAAGCGATATTATCAAATACCATAATTGTTTATGTTTTTAATATGTTTTTTCATAAACCCAATCCGTACGACATAAAATATTATAATTAAAGAAAAAAATCTTCATTTTGTAGTCCCTTCAATTGCGTAACGGTATCTTCTACTAATGTCGTGTAGGGAGGGAAGTTTTTCTCCGTTCGATATCAATAGCCTTTCCAACTGATTGTGTATATTTACGCTGTAATGCGCTATTCATAAGCTCAGTTCTGATTAGTTTTTTCGGCCGGATAAATGTGGAACTTGTCGCTGTTCTTTTGCAATTTTCACGTAGAACTTGCCTATCGACTTTTCGAATTAAATCTACCGAGCGGTTATGCTCACCAGCATTATTTTTTATCAATTGTCATTAATACCGTAGATGTACACTGTACACTTTCCAGCACCTCCATTTGACGTATCCATCAGCCCGCTGTCTGGTGTATCGAAATGTGCGCCACACTTTACTAACAAATCATCACTCTCCCTTTCCGAAGTAATACGGCGAATTTCGTTTTCCATTTCAAAAAACGAATACATAATGTTAACGTACAAAGTACATATATGTATAGATTCACACAACTGAAACACGAATACAACTGAGTACTGACAGTAAATAGGTAGATACATGATGCACGATTATTATAAAAATAATAATTCCAAATGAAAGTGATGGAAAGTTTGTCTGATATCGGCGATAATGAGTAATAACCGTCACATTTTCCGTGTGCCTATATTATATTGGGCGGCGTTGCATAGAAATATAAATAATACAGTGCGCGCAGTCGTACGCCTAAAAAAGTACCGCAGATGAGGACCGCGCGCAATCGTATTGCAGCCTGAATTATACACCGTCCTTCCATGATATTACCTCTGTTTTACCCAACTACCCACTCTTCCGGAAAAAAATATTGTGCTCACGACCGATTCACGCGGCCGTCTCGAGTGTTATGAGTGCGGCAAATTGCGTTTATTAAATTATATCTGAATTCGTAGATTTAATATATTTTAATCGCTAATTTTTCAGGCTGATAATACTATAATAATATTGTTTTTATGATTTTTGTATTGTTGCACTGGTAACTTTACTATAACGTTACTTATTAAAACGATTATTGTTTTAGTTTGTTTAGTAACGTTTATCGTTGGAATAACTTAATAATTACTTCTGTTATAAATAACATGCATAACAGTTAATAGCAAATAATAACTATAACCACCACAGACCAGATTTCTAATATGGCATACAAATCTTTAAATGCGTGTTTCTATAGTAATTATTTCAACAAAATGTCAACCGACGTGATAATTTTCTTTCATTGATACAATTGCCTAGTATGTGCATAACGTGGCTTAATTGACGGTTGAAAAATAATGTTTTATCAAAATGTATAGTTATTTTTTGACGAGCGTAAGATAATACGTGGATACACCGTAATTAGTGTTGTGCGCTGATAAATCACGGAGGTATAATTTTTAGATAGAAATGTGCATTAACGCGACGCACTATGCGAAAAGTAAATAAAATATTATATATTTCGCACACGACGCGCGCACCTAACCATCATAAATTCACTATGCGGGTACCACGAATATTGTGTACAATCACGATAACGGACTGGCAATATTGTATGTTTCAAACGTACGAATGGCGTATAATATTATAATAATTATTACCCGGTGATTTCGGGTCGTTGAACCGATTTCACGACAATTTATCTGTGATTAAATTAAAAACCTTTATAGAAAAAAAAACCGTTCTGAGACACTAGGGTAATGGGGAAGGGTGCAACCATTGTTGCAGGTGAGAAGTGGGAAAGGTAGGATACAGGCGGGAATTGAATTTGCGTGTGTATGCAACGATTAACCATTGCCGACGAAAAAACCATTCTGAACGGAATTCAGCTAATAGTGTTGCTTTTTCAATAATATATTATATATTATATGTCATATTATGGTAAAATACATAGGCATTATATATTTTCTTTAATAATATTTGTTTAATATTGTACCTACTTTCCCGTTTTTCCCGTTTGCTTCCCATTTCCATTTACTAAAATTGAAAATCTAAAAATTACTTCCTTAAAGTACCTTCACAGTCAGAACTCTTTTAAGAAAAAGTTCTGCACTTGTAAATCGAATCAATATTTCAGTTGGAAAAGTTGTTCACGGATAAAAAACAAAAAATCAAAACAAATATCGTTGTAAAACCATAGGCTTCTTCACTCCACTCAGAATCTAAAACGTTAAACAACAGAGTGGGGTTCGGATGGGTAAAGGCTGTACAAACATCAAAGCGTGCGATTCCTCGGATCGTCGCGGTTCATATAGATCATAAAGACGTGTCTATAATAGAGTGAGAGTCCGGCAATGCACTGCACGGGACGCGGGTCCTTTGAATTATTAATATTGATATTATGATATTATTTTGTATTCACATAGGTCAAATATTGCAATGCTCACTGCGATTTTATCCGCCGTTATTACATTGCCTGCCTACATCAAATGTATTTAACGCCGCCACCGGTTTCTAATTTACGGAAATTAAACGCGGTTATTTTTTTTTACCTGCTAGTTTATTCAAGTGTGGCCGCAGTTGATTTATGGTCAAAACGGCAACCGTAATTGTATTCACTCCATTTCATTTTATCATGCGTTTAAAGATCATTTAATCGTTTGAAACCGAACATTACTACACGCGTACCTAATATAAAACCATTATGATAAAATCGACGGGACGAACGATATCCGCGAGCATCGCGATTATTATCACGTGTTTAAAGCTTACACGGGCCTTGGAGTTGGCCGTCCCTAAACCCGATACAGTGTTCGTACCCGTGCCGTACGATCTTCTCGAAAACGTCCAATGGATGATGGGCGATCCCGGCAAAATGCATTCGACGTGCGGCACGTTCGATACGTACAAGGAGCACACGTCAAAACTCGAACAAGTAAAACAAACAAAATTAAAAATTAATACAATTAAAAAAAAACAAATAAAAAAAACACGTATTTTTGTGACTCGAGTTTATCGGAAACGTATTTATGTTCAAGATTGTCGGTCGATGGTATACCATGTACATGTCGAACATTCCAATAGAGACAGATTACTGCAGTCAGTTTTCAAGTAAATATTATGTGTACTATAACAGTTGCGTGCCCGTCATACACGATGAGCTATAACGGTTATTAAAATTTTTTAAAGGGCTAGTGTTTTGATTCCAAATGCTGAAAATCGTTTTAGCCAAAGTCCTATTTAGTTTTTAACATTTAAACAATCATTATTACACGTACGGAAATTGCGCGTTGACTTCCGGATGGATTGAAATATAGACGATTAATGATAAAGCGGCGAAAAATAACTATTGTACGTCAATCGCATTCATCTGATAAAAGCGGACCCCGACGACGAATAGACTGTTGATGTGCATTTATTATTTAGAATAATGGGTAAACTATGATAGTCGCACGGGCGCATTACAGTCGTAATTACTTGACACAAACGATTAATCGTCGCGTACAGACTATACGTAAAACCGTATACAATATCATGCCTTCCCGGCAGTACTCGCCGATATTTAACATAAGATATAAATTAAGGGATTCGCATCCAATATATGTATTTATTTAACCGGCGGTATAATGATACAACACACTGATAATATTATAATCGAAATTTACACGAGTTCGGATGCAACGTCAAACGCGTCATAATGTCTGATTGCACTGAGCTTCGGTGCTGAAATCGTAGGTATAAATATCTAAAGGTCGATTAAATTACGGTAAATTTATCATAATAATACACCCGAGCGTGTACGTGTTAATTTCTATAACAATGTTTAAGTCACACTCGACTCGCGTAATCCTCTTATCTTCCCGTGTCCCCCATCGTAAATCGGGTGAGGCCTTATTTAAACGTGCAGTGGGTTTTGTAAATTATATAATGGATATTTATTCTTCGTTTCATTACCGTTCGTATTCGTCGTTTTCGCGGCGATTCATTTTAAATCTTGTTTGGCTATGCGAGTTTCGATGTGTTATGCAGCTACGCAAGTGCCCGTGTATATTGTAATACTATTGTTTAGTTATAATTTACTAACGGACTGTATAGGAAAAAAAAAAAAATAAAGTAATTAATTTAATACAAAATAAAATTAAAATAATTACACGTCACATGGTACAAACAAATTAATAAACTGTTATATTGTAGACGTACAACTGCCGTGCGGATGTCTCGGGATTGACTTTACAACGGCATTAGGAGAAGGCCTTGTTTCGTTTGTCATGTTTTCATCGAACACCGCGTAGGTCATTACAAACGCGCAGTGGCGGATTTACGAGGGGTTCAGGGGGGTCTACTCCCCCCACCCCCTCGACACTGATATGATTTCATTAAACGTCGTTCAGAAAACAGTCATCTGTTAATAGAGACACCATTAAAATACGTATGGTTTTTCAGAACTCCTGCCAGAGGAATCCGCCACTGCAAATGCGATACTCAGCTATGGTATATCAAGTATTATTTTTGATTGAAAATATTAAAAACCGTGATTTTAGAGAGATGGCGGTGACTTACGAAATAATTGCGGCTTCGGTTATCGGCAAAAACCAATTAAACTTCAATCAATTAGTCATGCGCAGTAAATATCAGTGATCGTCATTTTCAGTTCTCGACACGTTTGATGTTTCTGTAATAATAATATACGTATGAAATATTGTTTGTTTATAGCTATTGTTGTACATCCCAACGCGACGATATTGGGCAAAGGAGGTCGGTAATAAAACATAGATAACATGTGAGGAATGGATAGAACATGCCCACACTAATCTCAAGAGAGGCTCAGTCCCCGGAACGGCAGCCACCTGAGGCCAATTATTATCAAATCAATTGTAGTACGTGCGCTCCTAGCGTTTCCGCGGTCCATATACATACTTTACTTGAAATTTAGAATAGACGAATCTATTCAGTGAGAAAAATCGTAGTTTTTAAATTATCGATTGTTTCCAATTAACTTGCAGTCAAATTTTAATTCTAAAAGAACGAAGCGCAAATTATTTGTGTCACGGAAATGAAAAATAAGCCTCGGCTTCTAATCGTTTTTACAAACTAAACATTTTAAACCATGCCCTATCCATTTCTTTATTGTCTATGACAATAACACACACAGGGGGAATTTTTTATTTTACCATGAACAGGCGATTATTCGCGAAGATATCGAATACAATTTATTTTGGAATTTTTGTTTTAGTCATTGCGTACAATTTCGCAACGATCTCAATAAAAATATTTTTAAAATGTTCGCCTTCTAGTCTCATGCGTACATCATAAATACATATTACGATACGTGTCGATTTTTGATTTGCATATCAATTTTTCAAATTAAATTCAAACGGACAATTAAGAGAACTGGATCAATAACTCATTTCGAATTATCAATAATTAGATAATAATAATCTTACGTCTCTGTCCTACACTCCGGTTCAAATGTAACCGTTGGCCGCGGTCACGGTGCATATCCGATGTCACTGTTCGGCATCTTATAAACACGTGTAGACTGCATACAATATGTTTTCGTTTCGGAAAGTGGTTTCAAAAGAGGCGAGGGAAGGGGGCGGTATTTTAAAACCGAAAGTCGATATGTGCTTATGATGCATTGCGAAATAGGGGCGACATTTCGAAAACAATATTGTGAATTCGATTGTGAAAAGATTTTGTACTACGACGGAGAAAAATTCCGAAATAAATTTCAGTAAAATACATAATCGCTTGTTAATGATACGACAAAAAAAAAAAAAAATAGTATACGCACGATAGTATTATTATTTAACTCGGCGGGTTATTTCATCGCAAACATCATGTTACCGGTTGTCGATAAAACTGTTATAATATTGTTATTGTCTTCAGCGTATTTAATACCGAGCGGTGCGATCGTCGATACCGACCATTTTCAATCGTACATCATTCTACTGCTGTGCAAAGAAGGTATTTGGAAACCCCCCCCCCATTTAAATACGATAATTTTTAAGCAAAATAACGCGCCGACGCATTAGAAAATATAAACATTTTTTTTTTTTTTTTTTTTACAGGGGGCTTACAGCCAATTGTTATGGTTCTCGTTAACGCGCTCCCCATGGCCGACGATATCACGGAGAAGGTTTTTCAATATTTAAAAGACAACCGTCTAGACACTAAATTATTAAAAGTTTACGATCAGGATTGTCGATACGCCAGGAACATCGTCGGATTATATAATTAGGAATAATGTTTAATTATTTTTTTTTCTCCTTTTAATATTAATGATAGTAACAAAAAAAAAAACAAAAAATGTAAAAGAAATGCTTATGCCACCGTTGTTTGCTCGTCGTAAACGGTTCGTTCTGAATAAATCGCATTATAATTGGAATAATTGTTAAAATATTCTGAGTTTTATCAAAACGTGTTTGAATATAAAAATTGTATTAAGTACCTAAGATTCGAACCAATTTTTTTAATTTTTTTTTTTTTTTTAATTTATATTATAATAATAAAGTACCGAACTGGCACCTATACGATTGTAGGAAAAAAAAAACGAATTAATTATTTTGATTTATTAAAACTATTTTTTACGCAGTTATGAACTATAACCTAGGTATATAAGAATACGATTGTGATGCTTATAATTTCTATAGTATTACATATACTTGGGGTGGGAGGGGAGAATTTATATTATAGTATCTACGAATATTTTGCAAACAAAAATCGATATAGTGTTTGCTTGTTCTATATTTATTTTTTTTTTCTTTGATCCATAAAATAACTGTGCGAGAAATGATTTTATTTGTTAACAAGTAACGGCGTTCGTGGCGTTTCATTAAAAATTTAACGGCCGTATAAATTAAAATACCGGCGTATTTTATTACGGCCGTATAGCCAAAAATGAGATATTTTACCGTTATACTATCCGCCGCAGTTTATTTTTCTCCATTACTAAAATAAGAAATTGTTACCGTTTCAATAATAATTTGTATATACCTGCCACCGCCGTACTATATATTTCAAATTCCAGCCAAGAATAATATTGTTCTTTTGGACGTGTTTATGTTTACGCCGAAACCGCATATTATAATCAGTCGACGCGTTAAAAAAAAAAAATATTACGAAGATTTTCACCTTAACAAAATAGTAAGAAAATCACATAGGCGGTACAAATGTATCCCCTATGAAATACCGTTTGTATAGCGTTTCGCCAATTCGTTAATTTTTTTATATCTACGGTAGAATTTTGTACAATTTCTTAAGGAGCCTCGTTACCACTCAAATTTGTTTTCTCCGTCTGCCCCCTCAAGTATGGTATAACGACAAAGAAATTCGGTATTTCTACAGTTGCGATTTTCTGTTCGAGTGTAGGGCAAACCAAACGGTATAAGGTACAACTGCTTGTATTTTAAATTGTCTAAAAAAAAAAAAAATTAATACGTTCCGAAATTATTCGTGTCTTACGTTACTTTGATCACGTTATGGGTACTCAACCGCGTGTATCGTTTTACGAGACACCTACGAGTCTAGCGATTAAAATTAAAAATTTTTAATCTTATATATTAAAAAAAGTACTACAGTATAATACTGGTATCGCTGGTATAAGTGATGGGCGGAGTTCGTAAGCTCTTTAATAATAATGGCGTGGATCTATATATATATATATATAAAAAAATAAAAATAATAATATAATATATTGCATTTTTATAAAATTAATTAATACGTTAATGTTTTTTAACCGACCGACGATGAAGAAGAGGAACACGCCTCTGTCGTATAAGAATTAATTCATCGTGAGAAACTTTCTGTTTTGTATTTCGTATTTTTTTTTTTTTTTTGATATTTTTATATTATAAAATTGATTGATTATTCAAGAAAAAACAAACTATATGCGTATAACATATACCGTAAATAATAAATATGATGTAACAAAAAATAGCCCTTTGAAGGCATAGGTAGCAAAAAAAAAAAAACCCAAAAAAAAAAAAAAAAAAAAAAAAAAAAAAACGTTCATAAATGAATTCACTTTTCATAAAATATTTCGTACGATATTATTAATGCAATTAATTAATTACTCGTTAATAATAAGTGCAATAGATAGGTAGGCGTGTATAGGTAACATAATGTATTCAAAAAGGCATCAATCGATTTATATTTCCCTCCGATATTAATTATTATTATAAACGCGATTTTTTTGCTCGAACATACAAAATGCTTTTCATTATTATATTTACCGACTTAACCTCATTTTTTGTGATTTTTTTTTTCTTCTGTAAAATATACGAAACAATTTTTGTTCGTATACAGGAATATTATTCTCCGTATCCTATAAACTCAACTTTTGAAAATTTTTCTTTTGTTCGTCAAATTTTGGAAGATTAGTTTTGTATTACTTGCATCAGGACCGTCCAATAAATAAACACCTTCTATTAAACTGATTTTTTTTTCTCTAGATTATGGTGGCATTGGTTTTACTATGACATGTGTTTATTTTTTTCCTGCCCGCAAGCAGCTGTTCTAACAGAAATCTTTTCCCGATCAAAAAAATGTCATGAAACTTTTACCATTTCATTTTGCATCCAGGCGGATGCATTGAAGGAGGTTTTTCCAAGCGGTTTTTTATTTTAGCTCGGAAAACCCGGAACACACTACTACAGTTATTGAAAAATTTGCTAAATTCCGTAAGGCGCGCGTGGCGTTATTTGAAATGTTTTCTATTTTTGTCGTTCAGCTACGGAAATCTCGCCCCGTATTTCAAGAGTAACGCGTCGTCTTTTCCGGAACGTCGTTGTGTCGACGGGCAAGGAATTCTGTTTGGTTTTCATTTGCGGATTTTCTGTCTGCGGTTTTCCCAATAATCGGACGCGGCCGCGGGGAAACGGAACGCGGACACAAACCAAGGAGCGTTTACGGGTACAACGGTTTTTATATTTACATTCGATCCGGTCGGAAACGCGGTAATTCGTGAACGCCGGACGCCGTCGTCGCGTAAAAAAATATGCCGAAAACATAAACAAATCCGCGGGTGCGCGTCAAAAGTATTAGAAAAATATTATTATTATTATTATTTCCGAGATTACGTACTATACGGCGGCGGCGAAACTCGCAAATGCGCCCGGGGCGGTTCGGGTCGCGAGCGGTCGACGGGCGGCGGCGGCGGGTAAATTGTAAAACGGAAAATAAGTAAGCTGTTCAATCACGGTGTTATTATCGACTGGTTGGGCGTGTTGTTGGCACGCCGAATAATTCGCGGCGATCAATCATGACGGGAGATGGTTTTCCCCGCGCCGCCGCCGATCACTCGCCCGCTGTCATTCTTACGGACCCCGTCCCCTCCTCTACTTCTCCTCCGCCC